TTTCTTCAACAGATGAATTCATACTTCCACCAAGGAGGTTACGTTTTGATTAGCATTTCTTTGGTAGTTACCAGCAAAACAAACTATCAGGCAGAACACCCTGAAACTTGGTTGAAAGATGTGGAATTGGTCAGAAAAGAACCCTTTCAATTTTGGTCAGGGGCTGAAAGACAATTTTTTCACTTCCTGACGTCGCAAGGTGTTTTTCAAGATTTTGTTTATTTCTCAGAGGATAGTTCATAGATTTTGATTTAACAAATGATAAGACATATTTAGGGGACTGTTATATATTTAATTTTGTGCAGATTCAAATAAAGATTCTGATTTAGTGAATTTAAATGTAGTTTTAAATTTTTTACCTTTAGTGGTTATTAATTTAATATATTCTTGAACTTTGGGGGGGCTTGGGGTCATAAAATTTATATTAAATAGGTTTTGTTTTGTCCGACCATCAAAATTCCAAAATATTCAGTTGAGTATCTCCTTATATGCTTCACAGCTCAATTCCTCAGTTTTGAATTTTTGGATCCAGCCAATATTTATAATTGTTGCTTAAAAATAACTGAAACAATTATGATTACCAAAACAAAAATACATGTGACAGTCAGCTCACTGTTGCAGCTCGACACATGGGCACATTAGCTTACGTTATAATACAAACTGCCAGTTTTGTTATCAATTTGTAGCAGGAGCGGTTATTTGACAAAGTGCTTCATATTTAGAAGTTCCCCATTATATGCCTTTGTTTGTTTCTTTCATGTGCACAGTCATTCTCCGTAACTTTGTGCACAGCATCTTTTGTTCTCTGTCATCGCAGGAGAATAACATTTTGTGAACATCTTGTGGCTTAGACTAGTCAAGCATTTTCAGTATTGATTAACCGTCTCTTGTTACAGAGACTATGTGAATCCTCAAAAGGGATGGCTGCGGTATTCCCCTTTTAATTTAGAGCAAGTAGTATATAAAGGTAGTCGCCCCTCTGTTTGATCTCTGGATTAAAATTGTGCAGCGTTTAATTTTACCCCCACATAGAAATAAATAAAAAAAATAACAATCCTTACAATTCCTCCTCTGCCAATGGAAGCTATTTCTGTATGACCTTATCTGTTGCTATAGCAACTGTTGCTACTCAAGAAAAGAAAATTTGCTTTATTCAGAAGCCTTATTGGCAATACAGTTCTCGAGACATTACTGGCATTTCAGCCCTGTATTTGCAGTGGAATAATACTGTTGATTTGAAAATGCGTGTCAGTAAGAATTATGTGCTTTTATTACAATTTATAATCCTTTCAGGCTCAAAATGTCTGGAGCAGGTCTTTAATGTCGGTGCTTTCCTGTGTGTATATTAATGTTATATGAAACATGCCACCTGCAGAAACATTTTAAAATTGTAGTGAACATGAATATCTTGAACTTTTCTTGAGGATTTCTCCAAAAAACTCTACATCACGTCATTCTATGTCATCTAAATATTTCAACGTTTTTTTCTTGCTTCCTTAGCTGTCCATATTTACACCGGACCACTGGTGACACAGAGCGCAAGTACCATCTACGCTATTACAAGACAGGCACTTGTATCCATGAGACAGACGCTCGGGGGCACTGTGTGAAGAATGGCCTGCACTGTGCTTTTGCTCACGGGCCACATGATCTCCGACCTCCAGTCTATGATATCAGGTGACACACAAAGCAAATACTCGGCCTCATTCCCTTGCCAAACTTTTTCACTTACATGCTTCACAATGTAAATACAATACCTGGATTTCAGCTTGGTGCATTTTCAAAAATATATCAAGACTTTTATCAAGACTTTGGGGTTTCTTGAGTGTGATGGTCCAGTGTCACTTGGATTTGTATTGTGCTTTGTATTATCAATTTAGTATTTTGAGATTTAGATACATCAACTATTTGATGAAATCCTGCAGTTTATCATAGAATTGGGTTGTGATCAGTGATCTTATAGAGGCTAATCATAAAAATTCAAAGGCAATGAACCAATCCCTCTGTCTTTTCTATTTTTGTTTATACTGAAGAAGGAATTAAAATAACTTTAATTGTTTTGTGCATAGGGAGATCCAAGCACAAGAGGCCCTTCAAAATGGACAGTTGGGATCCGGGGAAGGAATTCCTGATTTGCAGCCTGGTGTATTAGCCAGCCAAGCTATGATTGAGAAAACTCTGACCGAAGACCCTCGGTGGCAAGGTGAGAATCTTCTTCCTAAATGATGCTCTCATTCATTAGCAAACAAATCACAAATCAGTATAAAGAACTAAACCAAAATCAAAATTGACTTTAACACTTTGGGCCATTTGTCTTCATTCTTCTTTTTTTGCAGATACCAACTTTGTTTTAGCCAATTACAAAACAGATCAGTGCACTAAGCCCCCAAGACTATGCAGACAGGGCTATGCTTGCCCCCACTACCACAACAGTAGAGATCGAAGACGAAATCCACGAAAGTTCAAATATAGGTAAAATGTTACTCGGTTTACATTAAGATAAAACATGGTATTAAGTTCTGTTACAGCTGTAAGAGTTCTGGCCCTGTCTGTAACTCTACAGGTCAACCCCTTGCCCAAACGTGAAACATGGTGATGAATGGGGAGAGCCCTCAAAGTGTGAAAGTGGAGACAGTTGTCAGTATTGTCACTCTCGCACAGAACAGCAGTTTCACCCTGAGGTGAGTGGATTTTCTTTCCCATAAAATTAAGAAGGGGTATAAGACACATTCACCTTCGCTATTGTTGACGTTTCGGTATTATAGAGTATATCATTTGGGTTTACGTAAATAATTTAATACTTGTCTTGTAACTCAGGGCAGGAATCTTAACTTTGTCTCCCCATGTCTTGGGATTTGTTTGTCTTTCTCTTAGATCTACAAATCTACCAAATGCAATGATATGCGACAAACTGGATACTGTCCCAGAGGACCTTTTTGTGCATTTGCACATGTAGAAAGTAAGTTAAAGCTTTTTGAGTTTGAGAATATATATTTTTTAATTTCCCTGCCATTTGTTTGTTTAAATTTTTTCATTTAATTTGTTGAATTAAGCTAAAGCCAACAAGAAATGCACTTTTACTTATATTATTCAGGTGTTCAGTATATCTGTATGATGGAAAATGTATGAAAATGTCTGTTCTCACTCACAGTTTCTAAATTGATTTCATCACAGCCTTAAGAAATAGTGTTGGCTGTTAGCAACCTGGTTTGTTACAGACCTACAGTTTGATATTCATCTTTCAAAATCCATCCAGGAATTCCCTCCACAGAGGAGACCATGAGTTCTTTGCTAACAGCGATACAGTCGAGTTCACAGTCCCAGCTGGGCTCGCAGCAGTATTCAGAGTGTCCAATCAGTGAGTGGAACAGTGGAGGAAACTCCACCACCAGCGCAACCAGTAGCAACGGACAACTAGGAAGTGTATGTTTCTTTCTCTGTTCTTACTTTAGTTATATTTATCAGAAGCAGTTTGACGAGAGGAAACCTTGAAATAACAATTCAGCTGATGCAAACCAGACCTTTACGTGACAACATTTTGTTGTTTACCACAGGATCATTGTTCTGTTTGCCTGTTTTTTTATACTGTTTTTGCCATTTTATTGTATTGTTTTACATTTCATTATCACATTACTTTACAACACAGAGACTATTTCTTTTTGAAAGCAACATTTGAGAGGATTACTCAGAAAAAATCAGTTCATCAGTTAGTGATCTCAATCTAAGATACATTTTCATGTCTCTCATAGCAGCCATCACCTTCATTGCCCATTCATAATAATGGTTTATTTATTTTATGTTTTGACCATCGTTTTATTAAGATCATGTGCATTTTGTCGTTCTCAGGTTTCATGTTCTAATAGCTCAACTGTAAAGCCAAGCTCAGGAAGCGACAGTTTGATATCCCCAGTGGGATCCATCAGCAGGCCCAAATCCTTAACTAATAGTAGTTTATGTTCAGAGTCCACCACTTCCAGTGTCTCATCTCTGACGTCTAACTATCCCAAAGCTCCGGGCTTTGAACGTGAGGATCAGGTACACAGACTGCTCTCTTCAGCTTTAGAACCAATGCAACACAGTGACAGCATAGGGCCTTACAGTTATTGGTTGAAGTCACTATATTATTCATTTCTCATTCATTATTTGTCATTTCATTTTAATGTAATCACTTTCAGTCATTTTCCGATGAATTGATTAGTTTGTTGGTCATTTCATTTGTTTGTTCCCTAAGAAAACATTCTATTATATATTATCTGTAAAATAATGCAGATTTATTGAGTGAACAACGTCACACAGTGTATTTATATTTAGTTATTATCACAGTTGGTGTGATTACTGTGGTGGTGAGATCATTCACTCTGTGAGGGTTGTTGAAATATGCATCTACAGGCAGCACTGGAGGCCTGGAGGATTTATAAAGTATTAAGTAGTTAATCCCAGAGTGATTGGACTTGAAAAGCCTGTTAAAATATATTTATGATGTGTGTTGCATTTTCACTTTCTGAGCAGCACAATCTTACAGCCTGCCTAAAAATATTTTCACACTTCACACATGGCCAGGTCACACATATTTGTTGCTTCTCAGTGTCTAGGTTTCATGTGCTTCCTTATGTTGTAATTACAGAAGGGTGCCACCCACTCATAGTAAAACGTTGTGTACTTTAAGCAGAGTCAAGTGTCACACGATCAGTTTACACACCTCCGATGCTGATTGGATGTAATTCAGCAGAGTGTTTCTACATAAATCATCATAATAACAAGAGTCTTCCACCAAGTCACAGTTAGCTCTGTGTGGGGAAAGTGAAACTCAAAGTGATATGAACTGTCTGGATGTAAAACTTAGATTCATGTCTCTGAAATGTGCTGTTTCTTTGTCATTTGATCCTTTAGATTAAGAATAAGGGGCAGGTGGAGCAAAAATTGATGGACCAAGAAAAACAGGTTTGATTTTCTTTCACGGGTTTCTTTGTGATGCTAGTTTGAATTTTTTTTTTTTTATGTAGTTAGAAAACCTCAACTATAATTAACAACAAATACCTGCTGTGCTCCACCTTTAGATGCAAAACACTGTGTTCTCTGCGGTAAACCCTTTGGCATCAAGCTTTACCTCCAGTATAACATCCAGCTTGGCCTCTAGTATTGGATCAGATAGTTCTTCACCTACCACCTTATCAACAATGAATGCAAAAGCTACTCCTTTCTACCCAGGGAGCAACACGGTGGAGTCTGTCATAGGTTAGTCACACGTAAAACCAAAGTTGAACTGGTCAAGCTGACTGCCACCACTGTTTCCTGTGGTCATTAGAATGTGTTTTGTTTCCCCTCAGGATCTGCTCTGGACCTCAATTTTAGTGACATTAATGTTGCATCTCTTGATAAGGAGTTAGAGGAGCAAGACAACAGTATTGGGTTGGCAAGTAAGGACCCATAGTTCATTGAAGCACTACCAGTTAATGAACCATTCAACCAGAAAATAGCTCATCTTATTTTGAAAGTAACACCAGCATCTTGTTTGTCACCCACAGGTCAAAGAGTGCTCGTTGGTTCAGCTCCCGTTAACATTCCTGGCTCCCTGGCACGATCATCCTCTTTCAATTCCTCATCATCGCTCTCCACCTCCCCGTTAAGCTCCCTCTCCCAGTCCCTATCTCAGTCCCTCCTGTCAGCCGCAGTGTCACAGCAGAATCAAACTTCAAACATGTTAACCAAACAAGAGCTTGGCCTCCTGGGAACACCCACCTCCTCTTCCCAGAACTCTTTGGGTAAGCTGATAGCATCAGGCGTCTTGCTCCAAGTGAGAAGGGAAGAATGTGACTTTAGATTTTAATTGACTGTGTGTAGATATAGCTTTGTATGTACTTGTAGCTGAGAAGTATTGCTCTTGTGATCTTGATTCAGTCAGAAAAAAATATTGGTTTTACAAAGAAATTCAAAGCAAAATCACCAATAAGGTACTGATTCAAATCATTTAATGATCAAACTGCACTAAATGAAATAGTTCTAAAGTGACACACAGAGCCAGGGCTAACTGTTTTGTCTTGTTATTTCAACTTATTACTCACCAAGGCTTGAATGGAGGAGCCAGCAACATTTGGGACTTTGTCAGTGGCAGCTTTTCACCGAGTCCGTCTCCAGTTTTCAGCAGCCTCACCTCCATAACCAGCAGTGCTGATCTGGCCCGCCTTTTCAGAGAGCTAGACGAGGCCAAGAGGAAGATCAAACAATGGGAGGAGGCCTGGCTTCAGGTCAAACAAGTGAGTCTACCACCTCTTTTACACCAAATTTAGTAGATATTCAAAAGGGGAGATTGCCATTTTCCAATTGCTAGTAAAGGACTTTGTATTTCTGGTTTTTCCTCAATGAGTCATGTTTGCCATCACAAATGGACACAAACCAAATTGTCTTGCATGATATGAAGAAATCACTGTTGCAGATGTAAGAAATAATTATTAAGTGATAATTATTAATACATTAATGCTTATTTACACGCCAACATCCAGAAGTTCAAAGCAAGTCATTCTGTTGTACCGGAAAAGCTAGAGGATTGGCATCTAGACTACCAAAATAAAGAAGAAGACATTTTTCACCTGAGTGTAATGTTTCCATCACTGCTGATCGGAGCCAGATCTGATTTAAAAACCTGTGTTTACTGCAGAGTCATTTGATGCAGGAGTGAATGCAGATTTAATCCATTCCTGTTGCAGACAAAAACCAAATGTTAGTAGGTGTTGGTGGGTTTTTTAACCAGTGAAGATGGGCCTTCATAAATGAATGCTTGTTGCAAGACATATCTAAGTATATCTGATTTCATAGAATGAGAGATTTATTTTCCAAATCACAAGACTTAACTCTTTTCCAGGCCTGTGAGGCGTGTCAGAAAGAAGCTCGCGAAGCAAAGGAACAAGCAAAAACAGCAGAGGCAGAGCGGCAGATGGCAGAACAGAAATGGGAGGAAACCGAGCGCAAGCTGAAAGAACTCCACGGGGACTTTGATGTGCTTTGTCGCACCCCTGGAACACCTCTTCTGCGTAGCTATGGAGAGCTGGACAAGCTCCCCTTGTCAAAGCTTCACTCCATCCAGAGTCAGCTGCGTAATGACCTAGACCTTATAGACGGGGTAAGAAAGACTAGATCATATCCAGCATTTCATTTGTAGCATCACCACAGTTTTTTCTCAAACCGTCATCCAGAGCTAGGTTTTTGTCATCGAGCATGCTTATTTGATAAGTCTGCATGAACTGTATTTTCCTAAGTTGCAGCTGATACTCGCTCTTTTCTCCCCCAACAGGTAATATATCAGCTTCAGTCAAAGAAATGTATAGTTTGCCAAAAGCATGATCGTTGCGTTGTCCTGCAGCCTTGCCAACATTATGTACTATGTGAGAACTGTGCACCTAGTAAAACAGAATGTCCCTACTGTAGAACAAAGATATTGAAGTGGTGATGTGTAATAACTCAAGGTACTATTTAAAGAATTAGCCCTTTGAAAAACTACTAGATATAAAAAGTACACTTTCTAAATAGTTATGTCTGTTTCATACAGTGATTAAATTCATTTAGAGCAAAATTATGTTTGACTGACAATACAAATGGCATTACAAGTCAGATTATGTACAGGGAATTCAATCATTGTAGCTTTTGCTCATTTTACGTGACAACCAGACAGCATGCACTCAATTTAGAAAATGCAATTATCTTGAAGTGCCCTTTCTCAAATCTTCAATCATGGTTCAGACTTTTGAAAGGACATAAATCTCAAATTATATTTCATTTGCTTCACACTGTGAAAATGCATTTTGGATGAACACAGTGCAGTTGCAGACTTCCATATAAAATTACAAACCAATCAAGTCAGGACCAATAAATGTAAAAGTTGAATATACAAAGACAATAATGAGTGACCACATGTCTCATTGTTAATCGATTATTATGCACTTAAGAACTTTTACAGAAAATCCTGTGGAAATGTATATGAAGCCAATTAAAGGTTTTAGTAATTATGTACTTGTGAATGTGTATGTGAAGAAAGGAAAACTTGGAAATAGATACAGCAGAGCTTTAAAAAAAGGTTTGCTGGACAAATTATAATTCAGTCTGGATCTTAAACAAATCCAGTTACTAAGACCTAACCATAATAACTAGTGCTGTTTCAGTTCGGGACGCTCAAATGCAATGAAATCGTGAGTTCACTTGCAGCCACTCTGGTGATGTTAAACATGAAATGAGCAAAAACTCACAGAGCTAATTTAGTTCTTTAATTAAAGAGGAATGTGACTCATACTCAATTCAGAAATCATGTATTTTTATAACCCAATTTGCCTTGCATTAAAAGAAAACATTTGTATTAGCACCATTTCATTGAGCAGGGAGCTTCTAAAACTGGTAATTGTGAAATAGGGCATTGATCAACGTCATTGTATCAGAGAGCACAACAGAGGTAAAAAGCTCCATGCTCTAGGGAATGAGCTCACATATATTCTTGTATTCAGTGTAATCTTTGTCCAACAATAGAGACCTAATATGCAGATTTGTAAAATGTTATTAGTTTTGAACAAAGACCTGTGTCTATAAATGGGCGGCAGTAAATCAAACGAAGGAATCAACTAAACCTGGGTGTTGTAACTTTGCAGTGTTCCTCTTTAAGTAAAGCCACATTTTGTTAAACCCCAAATTTTCATTAACACTTAATGCAACCAGTCAAGCATCATTGTTTTTGACCAACTTTTCTGAAGAAGTTTAATTTCTTATTAAAGCACTTTGTTGACCTGGGACTTTATTAAAGGGTATATAGAATGTTTTGCTTTAAGCTGCTTTGTAGGTATTCTTTGTGTCTTTTTTTTTTAGTTTTATACGTTTTTCTATATAAGCTAATGTCTGAAGCAATGTTTGTGTGTACTGTGAAACATAATTTGAATATTTCGGGTTTCCTATTGTTAAATCATGGCATGGTTCTACATATTAAGATTTCATAGAAAAAAGTACTTACATAGTTTCTACTTTCATAGTTAGATTTATAAAATTTCAATCAAATAAGTGCAAATTTATAATGCATTTTAGGCATAACCAGCAGCTGTAATATCAGTAAGGCACATGCTACATGTTAAGGCTGTTATTCAATCAGTTAGTTTTGTTTTGTAGAGATTTATATAGCCTAGCCATTAGAGAAGCATGTATTGTATTTGCTAAAAGCCTGAAGTGGTGTTTTTTTCAGTAGGAATCTAGCCTCTTGACTTTGTCTAGAACATATCGGCCTCTAACTCTAAAGTGCCTTGCCTTAGTTGAAAAGGATGTGTATAGAGTTTTCAGAGCAGACACAAGTAGTTGAAGCTTGTGCGCAGGTTTCTACAAAATGTGTCTTGTTTAACTTTGCAGAAGCGCCGACATGTGTATGACTACATGTGCGTATATATATATATATACACACATATATACTTATATATATACAAACACAATTATGCCAGTGTAATTGTCAATTCCCATCAAGTATTTCTGCAGAAGATAATTGAAAACAAACGTCAGTGCCTGTGTCCTGACTTCAACCATAGAGATCAACCTCCCCTCTCTCCTCCGACCACCCACACACTCATTCCTCAGTCGTGGTGCTCTTTCGGTGCAGCTTCATTCTTTGGAAATTAGGTTTTAACGTTAGGGAGTATGCAAAGATAGAACTTGTGGATTTGTATATGAGTATATATAAAAACAGCTTTTTAAACAGTTAGGTAACTTTTAGTTATATAAGTAATATTTCTGCAGCGAATGAAGAATTCTGTAGTCAAGTTTGATTTTTGCTTAGGAGTTGTGCTTAGGTTCCTCTAATTGAAATGACCTTCTNATTTATTTCCAGGTACACCTTTTGCTACTTATAAATATGGGAAAATACATTGTTTACATTCACATAAATGACAATTAAGAAACTCAGAGGAAAAATATCCAGAAAGGTTATGGTATTTTAGCATTTTCATGATAATATTTCAGCATAAAAGGCAGGCTAAACACTTCTGGTATTGCATGTTATGCGATATGTTAACCAGCTACAAAAAAAAAGAAAAAAAGTTCGCACTGTGTCACTGCCAGAATATTTGTATTGACTTATTTTTAGTGTAGTATAAGCTTAATAACTTCTGCAAGCTTCGCTGCTACTGGAAAATGTATTAATGTTATTTCTTGTGACACATTTAGATGTTTGAATGTTATCGTGCATCCACAGGTCAGATTTCAGAAACTATGAAATAATCTGACTTCTGCATTTAACTTGACTAAACCTTTGATTTACATTTGATTGAATCGTTCATTTGTAAATTCCATTTAAATCAAAGTTTCAGTACTTTTGTAAATTACTTGTCACAGACTGATGTCACAGACCTCTACTACTGTAGATTGTCCCTTTTTTTTTTTTCTTTGAATGGATCGAAAGTTGGTGTATCTGTGAGATTTCTTTTCCCCAATACCCTGGATAGCAGTGTACTATACAGCTAATTTCACGGAGTCCTCTGGTCTATTAGAATCCTTGTTTTTTTTTACCTGTGAAGCCAACTCAACTGATGATGTCTTGTGTGAAAATCTAAAAATGAACCAAATATGTATTCTACAGAGAAAGATTACCCTTAAAGAGAATTCAAAATAATCTAAAAGGTATTAGAAAGATCAGAATGAGGTTGTGTAGATGAAAACAAGACAAAGTCCAGCATTGTGTGTGGCAGAAATTCTGTTTTAGATGGATTTTTGCTTTAATATTTCATTCAGTAGGACATAATATCCTCTTGGTGAGTAAACAATAGGACTATGCCAATGGGTTTTTTCTGGTAACATTAATGGACTTAAGCCCAATTTTTGCAGTTTTACCAAAGACCTGTACTATCATTATTTCTTTTGTACTACATTTCATCATTACTTTTATTTCAGTTAGAAACCTAGAATTGGATTTTAAATGTGATCACCTAGTACCTTAAATGGATATATGGTTCATTAACAGTAATTAATGGCGTCTTTTTTTCTCTCTGAGTTGATACACATTGGATGAAAAATGCATGGGTCAGATCCTCACAAAATCTCTATTTCTACATTTGAGTTTAAGTCCTTAGGCGAGGATTCTGCGTCAGTTAAATCGTTGTCTACAGTGAAGGAATGTCAAAGGTGAAAGACACTTGTGCTTCTGAAGTGGCCATATAAACTTCACTACAGTACTGTTTTGAAGTTCATTACATTTGTTGACTTCGCTTATGTAGATGATCTCAATCACTTAAGAAATTTGACGTTTATGCATTATATGCTGTTATGATTGGCCTGACTGTAAGGTGCTTTATTTTTACCTGACTTTTTCTTTTCCATTTCTGAAAGGCGTGGTCCAAATTATTATTATTATTTTTGTGAAATGATGATTGTGGCAAGAATCAATGGCATATACAGACATAATTAAAACTCAGTTGTTGTGATGGTAATTTGTTTCTGGCCCTTTATCTCTAGTGGTCTACTTACCCCAATTCAAGTTTTCTAAAAAGAAACATTGGTAAGCACAGCTTACATTTCTGTCCATATTTCAGATTTGTAAAATTAATGTCTAATGGACCAATTACACTTTGAAGTACATCTGTGCCTTTTTAATAATTACACAATGTTGTTTGGTATCAAGAGAATATATCTGAGGCAGCATCTGTTCTCATTTGCATGATAAAATATAACGTGTAGAATTCGAATCAAAATTCCAGTGCCTTACAACATTTTGTGGACCACAATGTGATTGCTAAGTGATCTTCTGCATTCGGGCCACTTTAATTGACTGATAATTGTCTATCTCAGTCTGTATTTGCCATACCATAAAAAAGCAGCAATACCTAACCACTGAATTCACAGTTTTGATCTCAATTCGTTATTTGGCACCAAAAACTCGATTGTGAGGAAAAAGCACCAAATAGGAAGAATCTTGTAAATGAACTGTAAAAGATGTATCATTATGCTCTGCATTGGAGTAGTTTCAACTATTTTGCATTATTGTTAGTTGTTGTGTCGTCTTTCTGTTTTTAATATTATGAAAATGGAGCCTGAAGATTTATGCAATCTTGTACATGTATATGAGTATGATGTATGGAACTGTTCAAATTAAGTAAAATACTAAATGATCTGAATGTGGAACCAGCTGTTCCATTAGCTTCAGAAAATGTCATTAGAAATGTTATTTTAACTTTTGAAGCCCTGAAATATTGAATGTATTGTTCTAAATTAGATATTCAATGAATGGGTCACTGGATATTATGGAGCACAGTTAATTCTTTATGATGTAGCATCTAGTTGTGAACTGCTATTCAATAAAATTTATTAGAACTAAAACAAAATGCAAGTTTTCAAGTTTCTATTTGTCAGCATAATGAGGAAATATAAGGTCAGAAATGTATTTTTCTCAGGGTAATACAGCATTAAATAGAAAATGTGTTATATCTGAGGAAACTGCATTTCATAGATTTATCAATGTCAGTGAGTTTAAGATAGATTAAGAGATAAGTCCCTTTTTTGTAACAAGCTGTATGGATATGTAGGAAATTCTCTACTGATAATCGTAGAAATTATTCTGTTGGTATAGTGATATTTTTTGTGTTGTGAACACAAAAATTGGTGCGAGTCTTAGAATACTAGATTTTGTTTTCATTTTCTACATTGAGGATTGTGTACTGCATAATTTCTGTAGTGTATTACTAGTCTGTCAACACTTGTTCACTTGTTACACTACAGTTATGCAATGGTTTACAGAGTTCACAGAATTATTTTTATCATCTTGAGAATTAAAATAATTTTTCATCCAAAGTGTGTGAATACTTATTGTCTCAGAATGCAATTTAACAAAATAAAATAATGAAAAAAAGATGCTTGTGCCTTTGAATCAAGTAAATGCCAGATGAGGAGGATGGATGAATCTTAGGGAAAATCTTATTGCATATACAGTCTATGATTGCAACAGTATTGGAAGAAATGAATAGATAATAATAACTGAAAACTATTATATGGA